TCATAGTAACAGAGATAAGCTAGCCCCCTGCTAATGCTAATAGAAATAAACAAGAGCGAATGAACAAATCAGGTATTTACACACAAGGGCACTAGTCTCTCTTGTTGTTTGATATACACTGTGAATAATTGCATATTGGGATTTACTGGGTAATTTTGGGAGAATGGAATCAACCCATCATCGTTTCATCTTCCAGCTCCTCTCCTCCACTGCTGTGTCTGAACAATTTTGATCTGAAAATGTGAGAGCATTTCCTGTGCTAATGACACACACAAATGCACTCATATTTGGGCTAAAATGGTGTGAGGTGCTGGAGAGCCCCTGTTATGGCTGTGAATGAGCTGCTTAGTGCTTGATGTGGGATCTGGCAGAGAATCAGACCAGACCTGTTTTTGATACGCGCTGTTCTGATATCACAAATTAATGCCTTACGACGTTCCTTCTGTAACTTTGTTCAAAATCTAACTATGTAAATTAAACCCTCTGTCTTTTTGGCAATATTACCTTTATCAATTGTCATTAACAAATAAAGCTGTGATTTGATGCTGATGAACGTGGTAATTAGTTTCACCAAAATCTTGTTATTTGGAACGTTTAAATGAATAAACACAAATGAATTGCTTAATTGACTGGAAAGCTTTGTACAGTGGTCCACAAAGTGATCATGAAATTTAATGCAGTATGTCTGGTAATATTAATCAGAAACATGAATGCAAAATCACTACATTATCAACAACTCTAATGCAGTGTTAAAAGATAAACATTTAACTACTAGATTCTGTTATTCTGTGGTTTCTTGTGTAATTGTAATATTCAGTTTTCCATTATAATTTGTAATATAAAGGGTCATTCGACATGAATCAGTAAACAGGGATGTAACAATAACCGAAATATTGTGATATCGTATTGTCGTATTGGGCTGTTACAATATATTTAATTATAAGTTCCTTTGCTTAACTGCATGGTTTTATAGTAGCAACAGCTTATAAACATGGGAACTACATATCCCATGATTCATTTCAGTGCAAACAACACAAATAAATATGTTTTTTACTTGAATTCTTGGGATTATGATGGAAATAATTCACACCAAAATCTTGTCAAGGTATTTTAAAAGCATCGTGTCCTATCTACAATTATATCAGCCTCTCCAAAATATCGAAATAAATATTGTACTGTGAGAGGCATATTGTGATATTATCGTACCCAGAGATTTGGATATTGTTATTTGAGTTGTTTTTAATGAAAGATGAGGATGGAGATTGAGTAAGTTTTCTTCTTCCCACTCCTCAATAGTATGTAGTTTAAAACACAGTGGAGCATTTTCTGTATTACCACATGACATCACAAAGGTGGAACAGTGTTTTTCTTTTTTGTTTGTTTGTTTGTTTGAGAGAAGAACTCATCATAAATATGCAGGATTTGTGTGTTAAATCATAAACTAAATGAATGACCTAAAGATGCACATCCACATGTTTCTCAAAGTCGTGTTCAGCGGTCATAATACCGGCCTGCTGCTGTAGTGTAATTGAATGTGTTTGCTGCAGAGCTGAGGGCTGAAGGCTGACAGGCACTGGCCTCAAAGAGACACTAAGACCCTAAACCCAGGAACGCAGAGATTTAGCCCAAAGAGGTAGAAATGGATCAACTCAGAAGGTTACATTTTTAAAAAATCACTCACTTCAGACTATATTTATAAGTTGGTTTTTTTTGCACCCAATCTGTAATTTTCATATTTTTCTTATCTGAAAACCTGTTTTTCTTTTTGCATATTTCAGTCAAAATCAAAAGCTACATAGAACTTAATATGTTGTTTATCTTGCTTGAGTGACCAATTTCAACAAAAAAACAAATAGACAGTAAATGTACAATAATATATATATATTTTTTTTATTGAACCAGCTCATTTAAGTACACTTTCTAAAGACCATGGCGGGAGGAGGTTGTTGGGACATGTAGGAAGGGGTGTCAATTGAGAAGACTTTGGAGAACAAACTTTTGGGGAATCTGGTGTAAAGCATGATTTATATTAAAGACTTGTTACATTATGATCATGGTAATTTCCTACAAGTTTGTTTTAGCTTTTCCAGCTAGAGCAGGGGTCGACAACCTTAAAAGCTCAAAGAGCCATTTGGACATTTTTCTCCCAGAGAAAAGAAAACACTCAGAGCCACAAAACCCTTTTGACATCTAAAATGAGGATAATATTGCATATCATTTTTTTTACTTGTATGCCGTGTATAAAAGTCTATAGTGTGTTACATTTATGAAATCAATGAAATACTACAGAGGATATTTTTTCCATTCATATATACGGTCTATGTGTATGATCTGCAGACTTATAATCTCTGAAGAGTTTAACATGAATCATCTCCAAAGCCAAAGAAGCACAGAACAGACTCACCATTAGTAGAACATCCCTCTGTCATGGAAAGAACACACATACTCCACTGATTCCTGTCCTTTAGTTCAACAGAAGCTGGCTGCATCAGCGACACAAAGAGCGCTTATATTTTATGCAAATTAGCCATGTGGTTTTAAGTTTTGTTTCTGTAAAGTGTAAACAAATGTGTGCAAAGCTGCATTAAACACATTATTACTCAGTGTCTATTTGAGTCCTCCTCGAAGGACATAAAAATCTAAACTTAAATTATCCACCTGCAGCAAACCAAAACTGCCACGTGCTTGTGTTCCATCGTCATTTTATAGCGTGTAGTTCTACATGTACCAGTCTCATCAGCCGTAATAGAAAATTAATCTGCCCACATAACATTCAACGTTCTGTTTTCTTCAGAAACTTTTCTTTTCTTTGATTTATCCATCATTAACATACCAGGGGTTGAAAAGCTCAGTAAATCATGCTACTAGTGTAGGACCTGGTAAATCCGGGCTGCCGGGCTGGCTTTGATACATATTTTCAGCGACAAAAACATTTCAAATTTTTTATTTTAATGTTACAGGATTACCATTATATACAAATTTAGAATTGTATTCAAAAACGAACAAACTAAAATAAAAATACATTGTTATTAAATACTCAATATTTATTTTCCAAAGTCACAGGGAGCCACAACAGAAGGATGAAAGAGCCACGGGTTGCCGACACCTGAGCTAGAAGTTTGAAACAGGAAGTGAGGTATTGGTGCAGACAATTTATATGGCTGAATTTGTTTTTGTGGCAGTAAGCTGTTGTGAGTAGCCTTGGGACAGACTGTAAAGCCATATCACGCCAGCACACCAACACAGCACAATCTCCACAGAGTCAAGGCAGATGAAGTGTCTTGCATCATGACACAACAGCAGAGGAAAATAGAATGCTCAGCCAGCCAAGACTACAGTTATTATCAAGATATACGCTCTTGGCCCTGGTCTCATTGCCCAGTTCAGAAGGGAATGACTGACAGGCAGATTAACCAATCAAAGAAATGCATGGTCCATTCATATCAAAACAAACATGATAGTTATGATGGCACTAAACACTATTAATCTGAGGTGAAAGTCAGATTTTGTTGTAAATGATAGATCACTGAAATAAACAAACCTGATTTCACAGCTCTGTTCGAATTTGGCCTGATTCACAGACTCAGCCGTTACCAGTCTGTAAATCTTATACACAGGATGTCAGTGTGGACTTAACAAGCAAGAACAGAAGGAAGGAGCAACATAACCATAGACATCATCTGAATACATTGGTTCTTCATCTTGGTTGGCTTACCTTCACCATTCATTTGCATTTAGTTGTTGTTTTTAGACTTGTTTCCACCACCTTCCGTAGCTTTATTTTCCAGTACTTGCCCCACATTTGTGCACTTTTGGGAGTATTTTAAGCCAAATGGCCGTGAGTGAGCTGTCAGCGAGCATGTCAGCAGCAGCGGTGAACACTTTATTCCCTGCATCCTTTCCAGTCGAGGGGTTAACACAACAAATAGTGGCTGGGCTTCGTGTAGGCTGCCACTCGTGAAGCTAAATCACCTCCTCTCCCTCTTTATCTTTCTGTCATTTACTTTATCCCACTGAGCATGAAGAGCACCTTGATTTGCGTGCAGCGGGGATGGCCACGGATTCGCCTGTCAGGGAAAAAATAAGACAAAATGCTAACGCCAATGTTTGTGATTGACTATCAAGATTTTCCCAAACAAATAGTTGGATAGATCGCAGGTAAAAATGTGCAGAAAAGGGGAGAGGTATAGACATGGAAGTAGTAAGATTGAAAGGGGAGAGAGTGGCTTGCTCTCTCAAAAGCCATTAAAGTTTGATTCGCCCACTCCTCACTGTTTGAATAAATCAACCTGTCGTCTTTCTCTCTCTCCTTTTCCTGAAGAGTGGGACCCTCCTTCGTCCCCGCAGCCGACAGTCTGCCTCTGGCTTTGCAGCGCCCATGTTTAAGACAATATGGATTTGGAAACTGGATCTCTCATTCACATGTTACTCTATTTAAAACTGCTCAATCATGGGGAAAAAAAATCATAGCTATGTAGGTCTTAAATGCAAACATGATTAGTTAAAACAATTATTTCTGTGCTGTCTAATAGGGATGGGACGAGATACAGTTTCCACAAGATGAGATCAGATAGGAGATTGGATCCACGAGAACGAGACAAGACAAGACAAGATTTTAATATAATTCCTAAAACATACATTTTGCAATTACCAATTACCAAATCTTACATTTTACAAGTTACCAAATTGGCCTTACTTTAGTTTTTTTATTTTATTTTATTTTTTTTACTGATGTAATAATTTTGTTTTCCACTGTAGCATTGCTTTTTGGAACTATAAGAGATGTAACTCACCAATATGTATCCCTTTTTTGTCCAATCCAAATGTAAACAAAATGAGACATAGATCATTTTCCTCATGTCATAAATATCTTGTGTTGCAATTTTGTCTTGTGAGATCTGGTAGCACAAGAATAGCCTAAAATTAATGTGTAGATTGAGTCAAGATTTTATTTTAATTTATTTTCATCTCGTGGTTTATTGTTTACAACAGTGACTTTAATAACAGTATATAATTGGAATCAGTAAATAAACAACTGGAAAAATTCACTTGCACAAAATGAGACAATAATTATGCAATATTAAAAGTATGTGATTTGAAAATTGTAAAGAAAAAACATAGATTAAATGTTTATGAAGCAAGATTAACATTAGAAAGATGAACATTTGTCATGTCATGTTTTCATTCAATAGTGACTCCATAGTGGTGATAATTTATTAGATTTTTTTTTTTATTTATTTACTTTTATCAGTGAAAAGAATACTCAACTGTTAATGGTTAACAGATTTCAGATAGTTGCTTAACTATGATACAATTAATACATATTTTCATGTAATTACAGGCCCACACCCTGACTCATCCCTTAACCTGAGTCACCAGTTTGATCACAAATTTACAGTTAGAGGTGAACAATGCAGCAATGACAGATCCAATATATTGAACACTCCTAACACAGTTCGATTTAGTTTTGATTATGTTCTCCATGATATATAAAAATATATATATATAAAAAAAATGATAATAATAATAATAATAATGTACAAATTTCTCCTCAATTTGTATATGATATATCATAGTAGTTAGTAATAGTAATAGTATTGTGCAGCAGTAATTATTCAGCAAGTAAAAACACAATGAATTAGACTTGCATGGGAATAATTAGATATAATCCTTACATTTTTAATTTACCACCTAAAACACTCCCATTGTCTACAGTCCTTCTAACAGTCAGATACATTTTATTTGGGTTGAATGAAATGGGCAGTGCCTCCAACATTGTAAATCCAGACTCCAGCGAACAGAGGCTGAGTGAAGTTGGTGTGGACTCTGTGGAGGAGGCTCATACTCTGACCATCAACACTGTAAAAGGACAGAGCCCCTGCACTGTGGTCCAGGTAAACCCCGATTCTGGACGAAAGTGGACCTGAGACCTCAGACTCGACATTATTGAACCAAAATGAGTACTTGCTTTTCTTGCAGAATAAGGCCCAGGATGTACCATTGTGCCCAAATCCATGTTCACTGGTGGTCTCTTGTCTCATAGGGTTCCTGTAGGACACCGCTACCCGAACCCCCCAGTCCCCACTCCACTCCACCTCCCAGTAACTGCGGCCTGTCAGACTCTCTCTGCTCATGACCTGCCTTAACTTAACAAACCTCTCCGGGTGATCAGGATAACTCTGCTCTTTATACATAAATGTGACTTTTCTGTTTCCATCAGCCAAAGAAAGTTTTTTGTGTGCTGTGTTTGGGTCCAGTGTAATGTCCTGTGCATATCTGAGGAAGTCCTCTCTGGTGCATGGCTCAGGTAGTTTAAACTCTCTCAGAGTGAGCTGCAGTTTGTCCCTCAGCACTGACACAGCTCTGGTCATGTCCTCAAATTCTCCTCTTAGTCCGGTCTGGACCCTGGACTCTAGCTCCTTCGTGAGTGTAGACAGTGGAGGACAGTGCAGTATAAACTGGTTATGATCCGGAGTGAGGGACAGTGTGTCCAGCTCAGAGATGGTCTTCTTCAGATCACAGATGTCCCTCTGCAGTTGGTCTTGGAGATCTTGGACTTGACTCAGTTTGGTCTCATGCTCAGACTGGATCTGCTGCTCCACTTCAGAGCGTATTTCCTCCAGGAGAAGAATCATCTGAGTGAACATGTCCCCAGTTTGCTGCAGTGCTGTCTGGGCAGAGCAGCTGATGTCCTGGGCGTCCTGTTGGAGCTTCTTCAGGTCTGTCTCTTTGTGCTGGAGACTCTGGAGCAGCAGGGACTTGTTGGCCTCCAGCTGTGCCTGTCTCTGGGCCCTCTCTGCTGCAGAGGACACTGTGTCATGGCCCTTGTGTTGGTCCACAGAACAGAGGGAACAGATGAGCTGCTGATCTGTGTGGCAGAACAACTTCTTCACCTCATTGTGTTGAGAGCAGAGGTTTTCCTGGAGTTTGTCAGAGGGCGCCACCAGCTGGTGTTTCTGTAGTACTGGCACATCATGATGAGGCTGGAGGTGAGTCTCACAGTAAGAGACCAGACACTGCAGACAGGAGCTGACAGCCTTCAGCTTCCTCCCAGTGCACAAATCACAACTCACATCTCCAGGTCCGGGGTAGCAGTGGGCAGCAGAAGGCGCTCTGATCTTTGTCTTCTTGACCTCGTCCACTATATTGGCTAACACTGTGCTCTTGACCAGGACAGGCCTGGGGACAAAGCTCTGTCTACATTGAGGACAGCTGTACCTTTGTTTTTTGTCCCAGTTGGTTTGGATACAGTCCCTGCAGTAGCTGTGTCCACAGGGGAGAGTCACTGGATCCTTCAGCAGTTCCAAACAGATGCAACAAGTTATAGTTTCCTGGTTTAGAGATCTCTGCGCCATGTCTCCGTCAGTCAGAGTGACTGTGTTAGTTTCACTTTTACAGAAGTGAGTGTAGTGAGCAGGAGGAGGAGACAGGCCCCTCCTCCAGATTCGTACCGGTGTAAACATGAGGATGTGACTGAGGCTGAGTTAAACTACTATGTCGTAGATTTTTTTCTTCTCTGGTGTCTGTCAAGGATCAGTGAGCAGACTTTGATCGTCACATATTAGATGTGTGTTTGTTAATAACCACTGTAGACTCTGAGTCTTAAACTGTCTCTCGTTCAGTTGTCAGTGAAGATTCAGCACATCATTTCTTTATCAAGTGGTGGTGTTCATGATGTCCTGTTAATGTGCTAAACAGTCAAAACCTGAATGTAAAATAAAGCGCAGTTGATGTATGTAAGAACCTACTGTTACAGACTAAAAATGTTTTCTGAATGATTTTCTGATTGATTTTTTATTATTGACTGTATGAAACATAAACTGTAAAAGAGGGTTAACTGTACGAAGAAGTGGTCTCTCTCTCTCTCTCTCTCTCTCTCTCTCTCTCTCTCTCTCTCTCTCTCTCTCTCTCTCTCTCTCTCTCTCTCTCTCTCTCTCTCTCTCTCTATATATATATATATATATATATAATATATGTCATTTTTTTTTGTTTTTCATTATGTTAAATATTAAGAAAAAAATCAGGTATACACATGGTCCATCCATAGCAAAACAAATATGACTGTATTTAACAGAAAAATAAAACAAGTGAAAAACAATATAAATCAGTGAATCACTGAATGGAGCCCAAAACTCATCTGAGGTGAGAAAACTGTTATCTCATTCTAAATGATGGGTGACCAAGTCTGATTACACGATCATGTCTGATGCAATGCAAGCAATTCAGATATTAATATAGTGTGAGGGACAACTATGTCTCATCATAGCTCCACAATTTACGTACATCTGTCTGCCCATCTTAATGCACCTCCAGCAAGATTTTTTTTTCCAATGGGTGCAGATTTTTAGTTGTGTCTTTTAATACATGTACCAGTGTGCTTAAATCTGTTGTGGATACGACAGCATTAAAGATAAAAGATGATAAAAGATGCTGTGAGGTGATGATATTTCTACCTAAACTTGGCCACTTTTGCACCATGTTTCCAGTCGAGATAGTTTGCCAATAATTTGACAAATGAACAATGTAGAAGGATGACATTTTCTAGCTTCATTTACAGGTTTTAAATAATGTGTAAACTACAGAAGTCACATTTGAACTAATTATAGGGCAAAGCAGATGTTTAGACTCCACTTCTCAAGCTCCAATTTGCATGTTTGTCGAGTCTCTTATATTTTCAGGTTGTCATGTGTGCTGTCTTTATCCAGAGGGCACCAGGGTCTATGACAGCAAGCCTCTGAAACACTGTAGTTTTGAGTAAGGCTGTAGCATAGACCATAGTTTATACAGATCAAATGTTAGAATAATATCCGCCTATGAACATAAGGGGACATACAGTATTTTGCTAAATCAACTTTTAAGAAGGGATTGTAATGATTTACCTCATCCTTACCTTACTCGTATATATATATTTTGATAGGTTGATGCATGCTTGAGTAAGCCTGCATTTGATGGTTGAATGCTCAGAAATGTCACCTAGCCCCTGTTCTCGCCCTCACTAGCATGCCAGTTCATAGAGTACACTTTGGGTGATTATTATCCTGGTGTTCTCTTCGACTGAGACAGATCTGAAAATTTTGGCGTTGAAGTTAAGCAGACTGCGTTAGATTTTCAATGGATGAAAGGGCATTAGACACAAAAATAACAGACTGTGCAGTGACATGGAAAATCTGGCAAATAGGACCAAAATGAAATGGAGTTTGGAGACCAGAGATTGGCTCAACGTTGTATTCAAGTAAAAATGCCATTATTTTCAAATGATATTACTCAAGTAGATGTGCAAAGTAGTTGTCCAAGTGTTTACTAATCAAGTAACAATAACTGTAGTAGCTTTGTAACTCTTACGTAACATCCTAATTTATGATATAGAGTTGAATACATACATCCCGAATGTTAGACTTTCATTCATCGTAGAATGTATACTGGAAAGGGCCCTCCGAAAAAGTGAACATCAAACCGCCATGTTTGATTTCCCAGTGTGATGCGTCTATTGTCAAAGCCGATCTTTTTAAGTCTTTTGAACAATATCACTTTTGTTTCAGGTTCTGATATTATATTTTAGTTATGGGATTCAGACATCGTAATTCTGTGGTTGTTGGATGTCCTAACAACAAAAAACGGGCTTTGGAATTTTGCAAACTCCATCACTGCAAAAGGGTATCAGATCTGTGTGACTGCAAACCTCCGAAGGAGTTCGCAAACTTCGGAAGCCAATTTTCCACTTTAGGACATCCGACAACCACACAATTACAATGTCCGAATCCCATAACTAAAATATAACAATATCAGAACCAGAAACTAAAGTGATATGGTTCAAAAGATTGGCTTTTACAATAGACACATCCCACTGGTGGGATGAGTGGTTTGATGCTCACTTTTTCGGAGGACCCTTTGAAGTATGCATTGTGCGATTACCGGAAGTCAGAAATTCAGGATGCATGTATAGAGAAAACAACTAAAAATACACAAATTCTGGTCTTTGCAAAAGTTTAAACCACAAAAAGAAAAACTAAATCATATCTCAAGGGTTGGCACTCCTCAACTACCATCAAAACTCACACACTCACACACTACATTCATAACAAGCAAGGTCGGTGAAGTGTCTTGCTTAAGGACACAGTGGCATTAAAGACATTAAACCTGGTATTCCCAGTGGTCTCCCATCCTAGTACTAACCAAGCCCAACACTGCTTAGCTTCCGAGACCAGACGGGATCAGGCTTTGACAAGCTGGTATGGCCAGAAACAACTTTAACAGTTAATTTTAACAAATATAAAGTAAATCCAACTGAGTAAATGTAACTGACTACTACGCGCCGCTGGAAGAGACACTGAGCACAATTGTCAGAACCAGGAATTGATCTCCCCCATGCTGAGGCCTACAAAGAGCATGTGCCTTATATACTCAGAACAGGAACACTGCCTCCTGTATCCATCCACATGAATCTAGATCCTAGAAGCTGAAAACCACCATATATTTTTAGTGCCTCACTTTTGGAGGGACTTGCCTTCTACTTACTTAGTCACATCTTTTTGACACCTTTTCTATCCCTATTGTATGGTGCCTCCTTTGTGTGAGCTTTGATGTATAATTGAGATACGCACTCATCGCTCCCTTCTCTCTCTGACCCTGGGACCATACTTGTCGAAAGCGTTGTTAAAATTACAGCGAATGGGAAATGGTGACTCGAGGTTATTGGATTGCAATACTCCACACCTGTAAGGCAAATGAGCTGCTACTTACACAAACTTTTCATGACAAATAAATCAATAAAACACTATTACTGGATGCTGGTGTGTTGTTGCTGTAGAGTGCTTGAACAGAGATAGTCTCTGACACTTTGGTGCTGAGCTCTCTATAGCAAGTGTCATGTTTCATCAGCAAGAAGTAATTTAATTTGACAATGTTGCTATGCACTAATTGAGATGAAGAGACAGTGAGATGGAGGAGAGCAAAATGATTGGAGTAGCAGTATGGCGAATGTGCTTGGCTATGGGAAATAGTAAGTAATGATGACTTTATAAGGCTTATGATTATGGCCTACACAGATCTATTCTCCATTAGAGTAATTAGCGCTGTCAGTGATTTCTTATTAAGGAGTCATCAAACAATATACTCACAATTGGTTTTTCACTTTTGGGGTCACCTCAGCAAAACATCTGCCTCGCATAAGTACTGCATTTGCATTGAAATTTGGCAAAGGTTTTATCCCAGATGAAAGCAAATATATTGATACTTTGCAGTTGGTGTCATCAACATTCCCCGTGGGTGTGAAGAGAACTGTAAGCATGCTCTGTCTGGGGCTTTGTTACTTTTATCTGAGCTTTATTTTAACACAAATTGGCAAAAAGAACTGACTTTGTTGGAACAGGTGAGCTCATTTGTGCTCAGCATTTTTTCAGTTAGTTGCTTTCACCTTTTTCCTGAAAATCAAACCCCTAAACAGAACCATGGACGCTTGTATTCATCACAGGCTCCTGAAAATGTGTTTAAATCAATTTTGTATTACAGAATTTGCTGTATATGTGGGTGAAACTGCCAGATTGTGATTTTTCCTGTTGTTTTCATTTCATTTTGTATCACAATTCATGCACACTTAGTATATATTGTATTATTTTTAAATCAAAATCACTATTTGTTGCTTTGTTTTTTAATGCACAAGTCACTGAGAGCAAGATGACGCTGACCAATAGAAGGAGTGGGTGGGGAGGTGTGTCTGCATTAGACAAAAACACACCAAAATAGCAGATTGTCATAGCTGGAATTAGACTACAAGTTGTTTAATCACCGTATATCACCCCTTTTCTATTTACACTTGGTCTAAACTGTCCAAAGATGCACTGACTTCACTACATCTTTGACTGAATAAGTACTAATAAAATATACTACAAGTCGACAAGCATTTGCTCCCAGGACTTGTTGCGTCAATGGCCTCTTAGATCACATTCCCAACACATTCATTTAAGCTGAATGAAGTGTCTTGCCCAGTATGCGTTTTCCCAATGTGTTTTTCATACTGCAAATGGCAAATAAACTATAACTGGAACTGCATTTCTCCACACTTGGGACTGGCTCAAAGCACAAACTGCCCCGTGGATCAGTGTGCTCTCAGTGTGGATCATAGAAGTGGTGGGTCTTGGACTGGCTCAGTGTCGTTCTCATGCAGGGCTTGTCTGTGCTTATCGGCCTGTCACTGTTTCTGCTGCAGCGCTACATGGAGGGAGTGTAAAGTCACCAATGCAGCAGGGACTCTGAACACCGCTCATGTGTACGGGCACTCTTTGAAAATCATGGCAATAGTTGTTTTTGTCTAATTATAGAAATCACATCACTGGATAACTTTAGTTTAAACAATGTGG